CACTCTTTCAGGTGTTTAGAACATCTTGTAAAGAATGGCTCCATCAATTTAATCATATTTTAAAGGAGTCCAAGCATCTTCTGAGTAAATACGTCCTCTAAACAAACATGGAAAAGCAAATAATGTTCTTTGAGGCAACAGTCCATACTATTTGCTAGGTGGCACAATTTCTGTACAAATTCATTCATTTTCTCTAGAATCTTTTCCTGGAGCAGTTTAGCCATTAAGATGTCCATTATAACAACAACAAAATCAACAATCTGCCAAACAATAGACTAGGGTAAAAGACCAACCTGTGTTGTATGCAGCAGAAGGCAAAACCCTGGAGAACAAACCAGGCTAGAACAGGTGACATGAAAGGAGATACCACTAGTCACAGGAACTAAATCCATGTTAGACAAAAACTTTAGCTCTGTTATGATAGACACATCAGGAAGGTGGAGATAACAGCTAAGAAAGAAGACTATATTCAGTTGTTAGAAGAAGAAAAATATTTTGCTGGAACCCACTGAAAATGGTGAGATTTATATTATTTTTCTCTTTTCTCCTGTTACTGGTTTCATGGGTTTGGATAAGTCAGGAATTTTAAAAGGTTTGTTTTGTGGGATGATACTTGTTAGAGACGTTGAAATGAAAGGGCACAGAGCGCCCATTCAGTAAGAAACAGGAAATTATGCACAAGGTGAAAAGGGACCACAGGTATTCAACACCTGCAAGGGTGACTGACTTTGAAGCTGTTTTGGAACATTACCCAGTGCACCTAAATTTAAAGCTGTATTAAAGCTGTAGTTTTTGTCTCAGGAGATCTGTTTTGTCCATTCCCATAGTGCAGCAAGAAATTTTCAACATAAATGTCAAAATGAAGTCCTATGTACTTTGTGGTCATTAAAAAGCCCAAAGCACTTCTGAAAAGAACAAAGTTGTCATGTTCTCAGACTCCTCTCATCTGCAATGGTTACAAGCTGTCTGGGAGAAAAAAAGAAAAGCACATGTAGTGTATTACAACATACGTTATTTGTAAATATGCAGCTTTGGTAAAGATCCTTGTATTTCTGGTATAAGACATTTTAGGACTTCCTAAAAGTCACCTTTCCATGTGTCCATATGGCATAAATATCATAGACAGAGCTGTTTAAATAACAGGAGAGTGGAAATGGATGGCAAGACTGAATTATCTGCAATACGTTATAAAATAGTGAGCTTTAGCTAACAGTGTATGTGAAGTTCAACAATTTGGTACTGACACCTTTGAAGTTGTCAGATATCCTTGGAGATGATCTTCTGACATAAAGCATGAAAGGATTATTGGTTCCTGCTGTGAATCCTAGACATGACTCCAACTACAATGACTTTCATATTCTGTGCCACACCATTGCTCTTCAGATCTTCTCTGCTTGACTCAGGGGTTTTAGCTTATGAACCACAAGAACCACTCAAAGCAGGAAAGCTACGGGGACTGTGTATTTTCCTGTCCAAGCCCAGAGCCATGAAACCATGATACTAAAGAAAGAAAAAAGTCATGTGTACTAGTCACAGGTCAATACTGCCCTTAGTGTCTTGGGGACAAGACTGTATTTTATGCATGTGCTTCCAAAAGAAAAGCCTTAATTATTTTCTGAACTAGTTCACAGTGGTCCAGAAACTTGTGTAGCTTCTGTTGCTTCAGTGCAGTACTTTGTCATGTAAAGATCAAGAAAATACAAATAGTAGGTTTCTTCCTGAATCCTTAAACACTTTATCTTAATGTACAAATACAAACAAGCTGAACTGAAGTTACAGGAAAGTGCTTCACCTTCTAATTCCATAATTCTTCTGACTTTTTTTGTGCATACACTTTCTGAATCTGCTTTTTCTTCAACAAGAATAGTTCCATCTTGTGACATCAAAATGTATCTTATTGATACATATATACATAGACTGGGAGATCTAGTTCCAGCACCTCAAGCTTCTTCATTTAATAAATAAGAGATTAAGTGATAACTGTTCTTTCGTACAGTATCCCACTGCAAGGGAACAAGATGATTTCCCAGCTCATTTTGCACAGATAAAAGATGGTGGGGTTCAGAAATTTTGGTTCCTTTTTAGCTGCTCTGGTGAGTTTTGCAAACTTCTTGTTATTTCCTGTCCGTCACAGTTTTAGCTCCACTCCATCCCTTGCCCTTTACTGAAGTCCCAGTTTTCTCAATCCCTTTTAAGGCATCTGTTGCAAGTTCTAATTTATCTAGGCTAACAAATACAAATCCCTGCACCAGTACCTCTCAGTTCCTGATGCAAATCTCTTGCTATCTTTTTCAGTCCTCCTTCTAGTCCTCTGTTATATCTCCTGTGCTCTGGCAGTCTAATACTGGACTCCTATTTCACACTCCATCTTTCTTTCTCTCACAGCTGGTTTCTGCTTTTTTCTTTCTGAACCACATCCTATTAGATTCATTGGTGTCCTGCTCTACTGACTTCCTTTCTTCTGCTGGTGACAGACATCCTTTGATCTCAGTGGCTTGATGTATTTTTTTTCCTTTGTTCCAGATAATTTAATCTT